ACACACACACACACACAAACACACACACACACACACACACACACACACACACAGACACACACACACACACACACTGACTCTACTTTACTTTTATTTTTCGGACTTATACAAGATTTACAAAATTAATTTCCAAAAATTTAATACATTAACGTTTACTAAATTTTTCAGTCATTAGCTCGCAAATAAAACCATAAATTATTTCCACAAATAGTAATTTATTTCTCTTGAGGATTCCGGGCTAAAACCGACGCCTCAACTTATTTCAAATTTACCACGAGTTTAATACTCAGCCCAAAAAAAATTCCGGAACATTCGACGGACACTTTATTGCAATTTTACTCGGAATTTAATTATTAACTATATAAAATATTATTATAAAATTTCATCAATTAAATTTGACTAATTATAAATTCCCGGAATTAATATTCACGTTTGTTAAATTAATTTCTAAGGAATTTTCCTAAGATGATGGAATTAAAATTATTAAAAATATATTTCCCAGGACTTAATTTCAATATAAAAAATTAACCGCGTGAAATTTTTCGACTAGATAAATAATTAACAAATAATTTATCAATATAAAATAAATTACGAAAAATTATCCACGGGTATTTCAATCTTAAATTGCGTGGTAATTTTTCAATAAATAATCCAGTATAATCAATTATTTCATTGTAACAAATAATATTAAAAATGGTAATTCAATTGTTGTAATTTATAATAATAATTCAGTTGTTAATTTTGTAAATTACTGCGTAATATAATTGACAAAGGAATTTGCGCGCTCAAAATGGACGCCGGTGTTCGTAACTGCGTAGCAAGCTTTGACCTCGGGTATGCGACCGACGCTTGCCCGATCGTGAGCTACCAATTGGAATTTTTCTCGATGTTCAGAATTCCGTTTTTATTTTATTAATAAAAATAAATTTATTTTAACCAATCTTAAGATGTTAATAATTATTCATCGGCCAAATTAATAAATTAAACTCTCACGACTTATTAAGACCACAAGGTCTAGAACATTCCTCGGGTATAAAACCCCCAAGAGGAATGCTGGGAGCAACTAACGAATCAAATCAATTAAATTAAATAATTGTTATTAAGCAAATTATTATCAACAATTGAATTATCAAAATTAAAATAATAAATGAGAAGTAGTAAATCTGATGAGCCGAGTATATGACCCCGCGGCTCATCAGTATCAAAATCTGAATACCTGGTGTAATTTGGTGCTCGAAGAAAACTGCTTTTCAGATAACTTCCTCCTCGGATTTCTGGCTGCTGTTGGACTGAGCACTGCACTACTTCTAACTCACCGCCGCTAAGCAACTCACCAAGAAACCAAAAATTACCCCCACTTATGACTAGCCGGGTCCCGAAGACACGCGCCAGTGCTGCGTCGAATAATTACCAACGCGTGTTCAGTTTTACCGATACAGGGTAAATTACTCTGTTACAACCAGTCAACCGGCTTCCTTCGAGAGCTTGCGGGACGGCGAGGCATAGCAGCGTCGCACCCTGCAACGATCACATCCATCGTTCGACCGACAAGTGACTCAACATTTTCGCGCGACTCTGCAAATGAGTCAGTAAGCGTGTCAATTCTATCTGAGACCGCATTTTGGAATGCGCTCTCATCCAGGAGTGACACTTTCCATCCTGTTTGCTTCATTTCTCGCTCCGGTACAGTAGGTGGGTTACCCCTCACACTGTTTACCGTATACGAGATATATTGATGATCACTTGCCGTGTACTCCTCCAAAACAGCCCAGTCTGAGATTACTCCCGCTATCCGTTGAGTAGCAAACGTTAGGTCTAAAATCGACCAACGCGCGCCAGCTCTCCGGAAAGTAGGTGTATTTCCCCTATTCATAATGACAAAGTCGAAACCTGCCATCATGTCCAGGAGCTCATCACCCCGCGTGTCGCTATAACCCATTCCCCAATCGATGGACTTTGCGTTAAAGTCACCACCTATCACTATCTCTCCTTCAAGATGGCGGACAACTCGATCGAGATTGTCAACCTTCTTTCGGAAATCCGCAATAGGCTCGCTGGGGGTGAAATAACACGACACGACGGTAACTGCTGGTGTCTCAACCCACACAATGCCGTCCCTCGCTCCACTATCAGGCACAGAAAGGCGACTTTGATCCGGAATCCAAATTGCCGCTGTGCCCGTAGGGTCACAGTACCAATTTGGCCCAGACACAGAATGGTATTGCTCTGATACCAAAACAATATCCATTCCGTTGTCACGATTTCTAGCGTACAGCAGATCAAGGGCCAGTTTGCACCGGTGTAGATTTATTTGTAGCACCTTAGCCATTTTCCTTTTGGAGTACCTCCCGATTGGTCGTGCACCGTCCAGAACCCGCCACGTGATCAAAGGCTCGCCCGCTTCCCACCGCTTCATAGAGATGGCAGCGCGGAGGCTTAGTACAGGTCTTCGACTTGTGATCCACCTCACCACACCGCCAGCAGCAACCGCTCCGGTCCTCCCCTGCCCTGCACGAGCCGGCCAAGTGGCCCAGTCCATGGCAGCGGTAGCACCGATCGAGTCGCTCCCAACGGCAGATTCGGCGAACCAGCCAGCTGACCTTGACCTTTCCCAAAGTCTCCAAGGCCTCAGTAGCCCTAAGTCCTGCCTCGATGAAAGCGCGGACAGATCCCCATGTATTGGGTTTCGTGATGGACACGTTGAGTCCATCCGCAGTCCCACCGATAGCTTCCGCCAGGGCCACCCTAACCTCTTCGACCGTCGTAGCGGAGTCCATCCCGTCTATTACCAACGTAGCGGTAGGGGCAAGATGGCGCACCTCCACGTCTCCTCCGGCTACCTCAGTGATCTTATTACCGAGTGCCAAGCGATCTTTAACAGATCCCTCAAACTCAATAAGAAAACCACCTTTTCTGGCAGTCCTAACGGCCTTAACCCCTAAACCCAATTCCTCCGGATGAAGTCCCGAGCGCAAATCCCTCAGAACTTCACCAGAAGACTGGGACTCACCTGGGTTAATCAGCACCGCCTCCGGTCATTGCTTCCTCCTCGGCCTCTGGTCGTTCTTGGCTGCTGTCGTCGGCTTCGTCCCTGGTCCTGGTCCCGTAGTCCCTGTCCGTAGTCCTGCTGGCTCCACTGTCTGCCTGGTCGACTGCTCCTTTCTCCGGTTTTTTCTTCCTTTTCTTCTTCTTTTTTCTTACCACCAGTTGGAGCGGCTTCTCCTCCGGCTTCTTCTGGTTTCCGTCCTCCAGCTGTTTTGGCGTTTGTTGTTCATTAACGCCCTTATCATCCTTTCCGGTGCGCTGTCTTTTACCTTTTGCGGTGACGACTGTAAAACTGCCGTCAGGCTGTCGCAGCACATTTTTCTCCGGTCCTTCTGGTGGACTGATTGCCGGCCTTTTTCTTATTTTGGGAAACAGGTGTCTGTTCTCCTTGTTTCTCGAGGGCCTGACACTGGCTCGCAAAAACATTAAGCAACGCCTCTTTCTACACTGCCTCCTTTATACTAGAATCTCTAGCAGCTGCCTATGTGCCTCCTTCGCATTGTTCTTAAAATCTGTTGGCACCGTGCGTTTTGTGCTAATGGTCTTTAGCATCTCTTTAAAAAGTTCCTGAAGCTCCTCGAGCAACTTGTCCTTCTTTCCAATAGCTTCGTCCCTCTTATCGAGGAGTAAAGCCATCTCCTGTGTTTTACTCCCAGTAGCTGTACCAGACAGAGGAGCCTTGGGGTCTACTTCTCTGTCCAAACGGTCGCTGGATAACGACGACAAGCAGCCCGTCCGAGCAGTGCCAGCCGCCGGCACTGGGGTATCCCTCCCCTGTACTGTAGACGTTTTTGCCGTATCATTCGACATTTCCATCGTTGTAATGCTGTAACCCTAGCGGCGGGGTCCTATAACAGGGTGCTACCATCCGGAGCCAGATGGACCCTGGTTTTTTAACGAGGTTGTTACTCCTCCGACTCTTCCTTCCTCCCTCCAAAAAGAGAGGCCCCGGGCTAGCCACCAGTATAGCGGAGTTATGTCCGGATGAGCTTATATCTTTAAAAATGGAAATAGTTCACCAGATGCAAGGTCATTTCTTAATTATGTATCTATAGACAGAGCATTTTTGAATGCAGCCTTAATTCTTATTATAATAAATTGACTATACGTGAGAATGACGTGAAACCTTGAAAAGGTACAACTTCAGGACAAGACCTTTCTAATGATACCAAATTTAACCATAAAAACCCATTTTATCATAAAAATATACTGGCCACAAAATTTTTCTTGTTCTCTTAATAATATAGATTATTATTATTATTATTATTATTATTATTATTATTATTATTCATTCGGAAAAAAAAATGTTTTATTGATACAATATACTTAATTTACTTAGGTTGTGATTGCTATGCGGGACCTTTTTCAAGTTGTATTTGAATTAAAAAAAAAAGAAATTGAGATGGCAAAGCAGCATATAGAACAAAATGTCGTTAAATTTCATACAAGTGGTATTTTTGTGGAACCAGCGCCAGATACGAAGGTAAATGATTTTAGATAATACATCCCGTAAAAAATATAGAATAGAGCTACTTAGGTCTATGATCACTATAAATATTAGGGTGATTTTTTTTAAAATTTTTTTTTGCTTGACGTCTTAAAAGTTTCTTCAGGATAAAAAAAAATTTTTCCCGCCTGAAAAAAATTTTTAATTCCAATTATAAGTTAGCCTCAAAGGGGGGTCCTCTTTCCCATGTAAATAACATGAAAAAAAAATTAGGAAAACGGTTGACCCTGAAGGCCATCCCTGCAACTTCCCGCTAATTCCATACTTAGACGCTTAAAATTGTACCAATGATTTTTTTGAGCTCTTCGAGCTCAAAAACACACTTTGTGAGTTATTTTAAGCTCTCTGAGCTCAAAGAGATTGCTTTCCTATGCTTTTGAGCTCTTCGAGCTCAAAAGTCTGATAGAGATTTGATATGACACTATTTTTTGAGTTTTGAAACCGCAATAACTTTTTCATGAATAAACCGATTTTCACGCGGTTGGCAGCATTCGACGCAGTTTTTCAAGCCTCACAAACAATCTCAAATTTTGAATTGATCACGCGAGGAATTTCGGAGTTATTCCGAAAAAACACTTTTTTCGGTTTTCATTCGTTCACGATATTTCTCGAACGAATCAACCGATTTTAACCGGACTGCTGGCGATCGACGTAGTTTTTTGAGGTTAGGAGTTGATTAGTTTTTGAAGTTGAACCATCAAACCATTTGAAAGTTATTCCAAAAAAAACACATTTGAAAAAAATTTGTTTTTTAGTTTTTTGAAAATTTCTCAAAATCTATTGATCTGAATCGGTCCAAATAATTTTTCAAATCTAAGTTTGGTCAAGCCCTTTCGAATGGCACCAACCGCGATGAAATCGGTCAAGCCGTTCGAAAGTTATAAGCGGTTCACATACTTACACACACACACACACACACACACACACACACACACACACACA